AGAAATTTGCTGAAGCAGGGCCTTGGACACTGTGCCTTCTGGAGGTGTCCATGACTGACTTGCCAATAGCACACCAAGTGTTTTATTCCACTAATGATACATTACCATTCAAGCACCTCTTTCATTAGACAGATGGCAAAAACTGTAAAACAAAATGAACTATGCAAAACTCAGGTTGCAGTTGAGTTTAAGCAAGAAATGGATTGTGTACCTTTTACCTGCACTGTGACTGGAGAGCTAATTCAGCACACATCAGCAGCAACGAAGAGCTCATGACAGAACATCAAAAGAGCTGGTCTGAGAGAATTTAGATTACTCAAGTGCTTTCAGAAAAGCTAAGCCTAAATAAAAATCACACTTAAGGTGCCTAGAGAACAGCTACTCAGCCTCAGAGGTTTTAGTTGGGGAAGTGTAGGAAGACTGGAAAAGGGCACCAGAAGAGCAGAGAAAGCATCTCTTAGATCTCTTTAAGAAGCAGAGAAAGATGGTGGCAAAGGAATCCCACAGCAGTCAGCTCCCCAGTTAAAATAAATAAATAAAACATGCTAGCAGATAGCCAGGGATGGCAAAGAGCAGACAATACTAGATTTATTGAAAACAAATCATGTGAAACCAGCCTAATGTATCTTTCTGTGGCAAGGTAACCAGTCTTGTCTAACTTCTCCTCTCATGTGCATGTACAGGCATCACAGAGAAAACTCCCCTTCTTACTCTAGTTTCTCTGCTTGCAGTATTTTTTGGTCCAGAGAACAGGATTTCATACAGTGCTTTGGCTTTTTCTTTTTTAAAAGGATATCCTTCTAAAGGTTTGCTTGATGTGTGTGAGATAAACCAGCCCAAAGCTTCAAAAGGTTGGCGGGCACCTTGGCTCTTGTTACAGCTAAGACATTCTGTGAAGGGGCAGCAGATTTCAACTATGTAACAGCAGCTTTAGAGCTGATACAGACCAGCACTGATCTGCAGCTTTCCAAAAGATGAAATATAAATCCATCTATTCATCCACTCCTCAAACACTTAAGCTGTGGCTTAGGTTTTTATGCACAAACGCTGCAATACTGCAGTTGGCTTAAGCTGATCTAAAACGACATTATCGCTGAAGGAGGTTTGCCGTCCCCTCTTTTGTCTTGGCACTAGTGCTCACACAGTTGTACTAGCATTCGATGGTTGAACTGTAATTGAATCAGCTCAGTGATCTCACACGAGGGGAAGAAAAAAAAAAGTAAATAAATCAAACCACACCACTCCCTTGCTTAGTTTTCAGACAGGCGAGAAAGCTGGCCTGACTTACCACAGGCTCCCTAATGTCAACAGAGAGGGAGGCAAGCAGGCTGGAAGGGAACTGCCTCCAAAGAAGGTGATGAAAGGGGCACAACTGCACGCGGTAGCAGATGCAGCGGCAAACTCAGTTTAAGGAATTCCTTGCTGATCTCATGCAAAGTGCACCCTCACAAAAAAATGAGGGTTGTGGTGTGGAGGTGGAAAGAGCAGAAGGAAGAGGGTGGGGATTCTTACACTAAAATATCCACTGGGAAAAAAAATAAAAAATCACCTACAATATAGGTAATCATAGTGAAGTCAAATGCACACTGTGGTTCTCAGTGCCCAGAGACAGGCACATGTATGAATATTTCCTAGTTCAGAGCTTAAATGAATGGACGCTGCCTCCTCAGCACCCCAAGAATCAGATCCTTTACACCTTGAGCATACACAAGTCAGCCACGAATTAAAAGGCATGCTGGGGACCATCCTTGGACCTTCACCAGTGAGTTCTTAGCGCTCATGCTGGCAATATGTGAGCCAACAGGAGCACAGGTTGATAATTGTGTGGCTTCCTGGTAAACCTGAGGACACTTCTTCATGTGCAAAAAACTGAGGGAGATCATAATTTGCTTAAGATCACATAAGCTCCTCACTGTGGAGGCAGTAACAGAATGTGCTCTGTATTTGATGTGATTTAATAAAATTACCGTTTCAGGGCTTTAGGTAGGCTTTGCAAAGTGCTTTTAACATGTCTTGCTTTGTGGAATTCCATGCCAAAAACCAGATTAGAGCAAATACTCCTCTTCCAAATGCTACTCTTTAAAGCATGTGCAAAATAATAGAACTACTTAATGATCCAGCTTGGAGATTTTTTTTTTTTCAAGGAAAAATACTGTATTTTTTCATAACTGCTTCCTTAGAAACTATTGAACTATTTTTGTTAACATTTTTCATTTGCAAGGATAAGAAAAAGCCCTGCGTTCAGGAATTTAAGTGAGAAGGATTAAGCAACCTCAGTTGCAAATATATCTCATTATCAAGTCTGTTTGTGATGGTAGAGAGCTTGTACAAAGTGAAAAAAAATACAATTAAAAAAAAAAAAGTTTAATCAGATTAATCACATTAGCGTAAGCAATGAATAATAGAGCTGTTTCTGTGGTATTAGGGAGAAGAATGCCTAGTTTTAAATTTTCGTTCTCAGACCTCTGAGAACAAAAAAGGCGTTCTGCATGATTTCCTCAAGCTCGGTCTTGCTCTGCTTCTTGGCAGACACCATCATTTTTAGGTACATTTTTTCCTGCTGTTAGCTGCGCTGCAGGGCACCATCTCCTAGGTCATCATCAAAGGGTTTCTTTGCCAGTCTGGCAAGCTGTCTCCTTCTCCCTCCACAGAGGCAAGGGCCGACCTGGTCCCACTGAAATCCACAGCGGTCCCGTGCCAGACCCGCAGTTATGCACTACGCTTGTTCCACAGACTCCGTCGGACCTTCGCCAGCTGTCTTTATCTGATGATCTGGCTCCAGGAGAACAAGTCCCTCATGACTCACGTCCACCTCATACCTGATGCGCTCGGCAACAGGTTGTTTTTCGAGCTGGGTCCCACAGATGCCAGCGCACGATTCCTTGCTTCTTCGCAGGGCTTCTGTCTACCGGGAAGCGCTGAATAACGCGCGGGTTTGACGAAGATATTTGCTGAACTCGTGCCCCGTGTCGCACGCAACCGGGTGCCACCAACTTGTGGCGTGATTCAGAGCTCCCAGTCTGCAGGCACCCTCTATGGGCACTGCTGTGAAACACCGCTCGGGACCCGTCCAGACACAGCAGCACTGGCAGGTGAGAGGGAACTTCAGAGTCATGGTGGAAATTAAGCAGAAACTAAAAACCACTTTTCAAAACCAAATGGATTTACATACTTTCACTATAGTAAGCACAACTGGCACGAAAATTTTATAATTTGGTATCAAACTCAGGGAAAAAAATAAAATCATTTCAAAGTCCTTCAATTCAGATGGATATTTTATTTTACTTTCTACATGCAAGCCAGCATCTTGGAGTGCTAATGTAACACCAAAATCTTAACATCAATTTGAAAAAAACTCTGAAAAGGTATCTTTGAAATCCATTGTCACAAACTACTATTGTCTAGTAAATACAACAGTGTTAACAAAGCCTCTGTATCTAAACTAGAGTACGAATGCAAATTCTAGACTAGATGACTGACAAGAAAATTGATTTAACTTTTTAGCTTTGTAAGGCCCTTGTGTGAATGCAAACACTGTGAATAATAATTAAGTGGAGCGGGTACCCAAGCCACAACAGCATAAGGCTCTAGTGTGTCATTAAGCAGCATAACTATGGAAAATTATTTTAAAATACAACTTTCAAAATAGGTTTCCATTAACAAATGATCATCCCATTGCATCTGCCCCCACAGTTTTGTCTTCAAAAATGAATTTAATGGGATCACACAAAGCTGCAGCAATGTAGAACTTGTAGGCCATGTCCTTGCCTTTCAAGCTCAAAACCAAATCCGTAACACCATGTTTAAATCTGTCGTGTGAAGCCCTGGTCCTGAATGGGCCTTGTGTTAATTCACCCTGGTACCTGCAGCACAGCTGGCACTGAAGGCAGCAAACTCCAAATCAGGCAGGAATGGGCATCTGCCCAAAGGAGAAAATTGTTGGATAATGGATTGGAGGCTTCTGGTGAACTATTATAAAAGATCTGGAAAAGGCTCCACTGTATTTTGGTTGACTAATACTTTCCATTATAAAGGACTCTTTCTTTGGGAAGCATTAACACCTCTGTTGTCTGTTGCAGGCCTTTGATATTTAGCAGGGGAAGTCCCAGAGGCTATAGTGGTGCCTATTCATTGCCCAGAGAAACGTGAGTCAGTTTTACCTGTATTGTAAAGTATTAAAAATGTCGGGTCTCTGATTCATGCACAAAGGCAGATTAAAATCAGGCTACCACCCACATCTGTCTGGCCTGCCCCCTCTGCACAGATGGATCAACTGCTCTTGAAACATCAGCTGAATTGCCACAATTTACAGCCAGGCATAATTTAATAATGCTAAAATCTGGGCACAAAGATCTCAGCTGCCTGCAAAGCAGAAACTTTCAAGGCAGAAACGAAATAGATGGCTATGGGAGATTTCCACTGCTGATATTTTTGATCTGTGTTTATGACTTATATTTCTTTTTCTTTTCTCTCTAGAAAACTGCAGTTTTCCACAGAAGATGCAGAGTGTAAATCCTTCAAAATACAAGTGCTCAGAATCCTTGGCTGCCTTGAAGTTGCACGGTCAGCTCATTCTCATTTCAATTTCAGACAGCCTATCTTTGTCCAAACCGTTCCCAGTCTGTCTGATACTCGTTCCCTTCTTGCTGGCTGGGGGCTCACCCACGTGCAGGTTGGATTGTTTGTCCTGGAGCATTAGCATCAGTTTGCCTAGGTAAGGAAATGATCATTTGGTAAGGGACAGTGATTGTAGTGTCCACCTTGTTGTGGACATCCACCACCGCCTTGAAAGTTCCTGCTTTGCAGACAGCACAGCAAGGTGTTCCCATGGATTACCTCTGGGTTCTCCAGGGACAGCGCTAATACATTGAAAATTAGTCTCATAGCTGCCTAACCACCACCTTCTCAGCTGTACAGGGCTCATTCAGTTCTTATTTTAAAAATATTTTCAACATCAGATTTAATTTTTACTGTGAGGAAAGATAGCTATCTTTTTGTCTGTGCCCTTAATACAAGAATCAGATTAATAATGTTTTAGCAAGCACTTTTCCTAGTGGGTCAGGATAACCATGGCTATGTGGAAATATTTATGGAAACGAAGAAGGCATTTTTAGCTATGCTGCCAATATCATTCATCTGCTTTCTTGTCATTGTACCTGCAGCACCCAATAAAAAGCTATAAAATTTCAATTACAGCAAACTCTACATAAATCCTAAAATCATCTTTAACTGTTTTATTTATACATAGCCATTGTTTTCGTTTTAATGCATTCATTTAACAGTGCATTGTAGCTTAAAAGTCCATTATAAAATTGTCTCTGTAATAACTCTTGAAATAATGTTAAAGTCTATAAAGCTAAGAAATGTAACTTATATATATATATATATATATATATATATATCACACAAGCTGTTATCTGATTTCTAATAAATAACGTAGTGGAGTAATCAATAATGGGATGTATTCCCTACCATTTCAAACTTTGTCTTGTGTATTGTGTCAATGCTTTCCCCCAAGGGCTATATTTGTTTTATAAATAAATAAATACACACACACATATATATGCTATATGAATATGTGAAACTTAAAACTTTCTTCTCCAAAGGGTTATTAATGAACATATTATATGTGCATAATATTGTGTGTGTCTTGCATATATAAACTCTAAGCACATTAGAATAATTTAACATGAAAGCAGAGAAAAGACAGTATTATACACAAGATTTTGACAAGGATAAAAGTGCAAACTTCTTATATTTTTTGCTTAAAAAAAATAAATAAATAAATACACCTCTTCTGAAGAGTATGCTTTTCACAGATAAATCCACAAAAACACCGTTTTACTAGAAAGCCATCTGAATTCCCAAGCCCAGGTCAATTTCTATTAGTTTTTCCTTCACATTCACTGGTGTGGCTTCATCAACTCTAGAGGAAGTAGAACAGCTTTCAAATGTCTGTACTGCAGTCTGAAGTTCCGAGTACACCGGCTCCAGTATAGAAGACTCTGCTTCTACCAGAACATTTTCTCCAGTAGCTTGTGACCATGGCTGAAGTTGCATGGGAAGTATCTCTGTTGTTGAAGTCTCTCTTTCGCAAGAGTCCCCTCCTTCTCTTCCCAAACTATTTTGACTTACTGGTGACTTACTTATTATCATCTTGTTATTAAGAGTCTGACCTAAGCCTGTGACAGCATTAAATACTGCTAAATTCAAACTCATGTGACCCTCATCATCTTCTTTATACCTAAGGGAATAGCATTGAAAATGCAGGTTACAAACACAGTATTTACAGCAGAAAATACCACCTAATATGATTGCCAAAATTGAAAATGTCTGCAATTAGAAGATGAATCAGATTGCTATTTATCATGTTGTACTCAAACAAAAAACACTGTATGAAGAGACAAGTGCAATAGGGTTCCAATAAGTATTTTTCATCAAATACACATCACTAAATATAAAATAAGAAATACCTATTCACAATTATATTTTGTGTGTCCCAAAATGGAGAGTGTGACTTCTTTGTACTACAGAAGCTGTTGATATATTTATGCACAGCTTACTTCCTTGGTGGATACAACTTACATGGTCAAAAACAAAATTCTTTCAACAATCTAGGTTACAAGAACTTCCCAGTGGTAAAGACTATAAAAAAAAACAAACAAACAAACAAAAAACATTTTGACCATCTTTACACTAGGTTTTCCATCATGATAGCGAAATCTAAGATATAAATTGTTTCACAATATTTCACAGAATAGTTAAAGCTGGACCAAACATAAGACATTTAATTAAATATCTGGATCTCTTATACAAAACCTTAAAAAAGAAAAAAAAAAAAAAGTTACTTTATAATCTGAACAAGAATCAACTGGTAACATACCTGAAACGAGAATGACTGCTGAGATTGTGTGCTTTTCGAAGATGTAGGGTCAATGAATAACTCCAGCAGAAACATTTCTGACAGATGTGGCATTTGTATCTCAGAATACCATTACTCTTGGAAAGAAGTAGTGTTAGAGTAATTTAAGACTTGCACATCTACATGAGGACAATTAATCCTTTGTTGAAAAGGGGGAAAGTACACTAGCTAAAAACCTTTTAGGGAGTTAACTTCAAAAAGGTTTAAGATGTGTGAGTTTTAGGCAAACTTGTCTGCTTAAGGAACCTTATTGAACATGTAAATTGTCTTTAATGCCTTCAGTACTGCACAAATCTTCAGTAGCAGTGTGAGAATATAGTTCCTCTAAAACCTTTACAGTTTACAATATAGCAGTGGTCATAACTCAGAAAGTTGAAGAAACAGGCAAAATATGTGCATGAACTATTGCAGCCAAAACTATATTTTAATGTTGTGATGAAAGACTCACATGATCAGAGGTGATGTAAGCATTACATGCTTTATAGTTTCTCTATTTCCAGGTTACATATTAGCTCTAAGGGCGGAGTATCAACGTGAGGAGAAAGGTGACATTGGATTTTAATCCCTGAAATATTTTGCATTTCAGATTAGGATTGGCATGTTGTTTTAAAGAAGAGGAAAAAAAGAACGTATGTGGGGGGTTGGCTGGAATTCAAGACTGTGAGTATGCAACTGCATGTACTTAAAGTAAGCAATTGAAATCTATAGGGAAGGATGAATCAGGTATTTTTATAATATTTACAAGAGTCCTAGAAATATGCGCAAATAGATCCTTGATTTGATGGAAAAATGAAATATTTCCTTCATTCATATGAAACTAAACACATGTAGATTTGAAACTTAGGATCACTTATAGCAATATATTCTATTCTGCTAATATACTCACCACATGTGCTCTCTTGTAATGCTGTTTCAAAGTTTGTGAAGTCCGTGAAGTAAAACCACATCCTTCAACATCACAGCTGTAGGCATCTGAATCATTGTGTGTTTCAACATGCTTATGCAGATCATATGTGTTCTTAAAACTGAAAACAAGGTAAAACAAATAACAGATATAATAGTACAGAGGAGTAGTCTTGTGGTTAATGTTTAGGACTGGGAGGTAGTAATTTTTGGCTCTGACAATGACAAGTGAAAGCGGAATATGTGTAAATCACTTCTCTTCTCTACCTCAGTTTTTCCACCTGTGAAAAGGGGATAATGCAGACACCTCTTTGATGTGCTCTGTATTTCATTTTCCATTCCTTCTTTCTTCCCACACATCCATGGCATGCCCAAATCTAGGTGATTTTTCCACAACTATGTTGCAAGGCATCAGCCTCTCTTTCGGTTCACACTGAGAAAATTCTTGTCCATTATGGATCAGTCATTTCATTATTTCTGGTCTAGAAATTCAGATTGTTTCCTTGTGTCCACCCACAGTATGAACACAAGAGTACTTAAATACTTGTTTACTTTATCCTACTTTCAGCATAAAAAGGCTACACCTCTCATCTTCCCTGGCAAAAGTTACACGTAATTTGCCAGCCTAGTGCTTATATACACAACTTGGTCTATCACATCACAGTGGTATATTTTTACATTTTTTTTTTAAATATTATTATTTCATTGTTGTTTGGCATCATATGATGAAAGCAGAAAAGAAACCACCACAGAAAAATCAGACAGCAAAAGGTATAGTGAACCTGTGGCTGAAAAATCACTCAGAAGATTATGACTCTCCCAGGAAATGTCCAGCAGTCGTTCAGAATGGCAAAACCCACCACTTAAGGCACTACTGCCACACATTTCCACTTGCCATTATCATGGACCATCTTATAGTCCACACAGTCTTGCCAAGAAAAGTCCCCTTTAAAACATCAATCCTTCTTTACCAGTAGTTCATGAACTACAACGTTTTAACAGATGAAGGCAGATGAACAGCAGCTAAATCTATTACATTTCTTCCTTGACCAGTTGACTGTTTTAATGGTTGAAAAGTTTTCTTATCTCTGTTAACTCCTATGTAAAAACTAACTCAGTTCTACAGTTCTGCTCACAGAGCTACAAGCCTTAAAATTTTCTGACCTGCTGTCACAGAGGTGACAACGGAAAGGACGTTCATCACAGTGTCGGTATCTGGTGTGTGCTTTCAGTGAGGAGACACTTGTGCATACTGCATCACAAAGCGGGCACGTAACACGGTTAACTGTAGAAAGAAAGATACTTTCAGTCCTGTATCACAGGAGGACATTCAGTCCACTATGACACATGACAAGAAAATGTACTACAAGCTCACATTAGAATCAACAGATTACAATAATTCAGAAACAAGATATACAGAGAAAAAAAAAAAAAGAGAGATAAAAATGGAACACAGGTAGAAGAGAAAGAGTAGTCAAATAACAGTAATCTTTTATATGTATATATAACATTACAGTGTTTCGAGTTACTTTCAAAAAAGGTAAGGGAAAAAGATGTAGAGGATCATGTTTCGCTCTCCAGGCTCTAACAAAAGGATGATTATCTTCTTGCCTGTAGCACTTTGGGAGGCTTCCTAAAAGGTGCACGTTGTCTGGAGGCCTTCTGACAGACAAGCACTGGCAAATCTACCTTTAATGTTTAAGGTATTACCACTCTTTAAAAAGGTGGCAGAAGGAATATGTGTCTGCCCTCCGCCTCCCCGTTTCACATTCGGATACATTTGCTTAAGGCATAATAATGGTAGGTGCTTGCTAAGCTGCCAGACTTTGAACTGCAGTGGCTGAGGCACAGGTTTGCTCTGCTGACTCTGGAACAGGGGAGAACCTCTGGCACGTTGGCAGGCAGGACGGCAGCATCTTAAGCTGAACAAATGCTTGCTTTGCTGCGTGTGAATCAGCAACCTGATGAAAGCGGTAGGAAGAGTCTTAACAAAGAAGTATGGGATTTCAACAAAACCTGTTATATTTAGGACCTTGAAATAATGCCTTATTTTATAATCAGACCGGTGCTCTGCAGATGGCCAGTGAAAATCATGCAGTTGAAGTGTTCGTGTTTTCTCAAAAAAAGGAAGTGAGTGTAATGTGTTCTAACTGCTCTGGAATCCCTGCATAGACACTTTTCCTCAAAGTTTGTCTTGAGGTAGGATAATTTCTTTTTCTCCCTAAAATAAATAGCTTCATGTGCAAAATTAGTCTGGAGTAACAACCTGTAGAACTGCACCAGTGAAGTCTCTTGAAATGGTAGTATCTAACAGTTTACTTCGTCTTCTGGCACATAAATGTATCCATGTGGGGAGCAATTTCAAAATACCCACAGACTTTGCATTCACATCACAACTTATCTCTGGCTAATTTCTTATAGATGGGCATAATTTTCACTATTTATCTATACTAAAAGCTATTAAGAAATATGCTGGAGTAAGAATCTTAAAATGTCATGTCTGCACTGGCAGTCTGCACTAGCAGACATGTATGCTGCCAGAACTTTTAAAGAAAGCTGAATCATGAACCGAGAAAGTAACTGGCTCTAATGTCTGAAGGGATTTATGTTGTGCCTAAACAATTGGACCCAGGATTGCTTCACAGCTTCTTCAGCCAAGTTCACGTTGCAGCTGGTTCACAGTGGTTTACTGGGACATGACACAGGATCACATCATCCTTGTTCCTAGGTCCAGCCACCCTGTGATTTTCCCTGGCTGTGCAAGCAGGGCACAGGATGAATTATCAGGGGACAAGGCCAGCCAGGCCCCTTGTACTGTTCACAAAGGTTTAGATGCAGCCAGAGGGACCAGAAACAAACAGCCCTGTTAACCACACGTCTTATTTTAGATATCAAGTCTATTTTAATGTGTATTATGCTTTAATTAAACAAAGAAAAGCAAGCTCAACATATTTAAACTGCTTCATTAGCTAATAAAAATAAATAAATTTGTATCTATTTCCATTTTCTGTCCAAAATCACCTTGACGCAAAGGAATATAACTAGTCTAGTAACAAAACAATCTCTCTACTTTCTGACATAAAATATTAAAATTAAGATATTTTAGGTAGATGAACGTCAAGTGTAAATATATTTAAATATGAACATCGTTAATCTTGGTAGCTCACAGTAAGCACCAAATCAAATGCATAGTGTTAAGCATCAATGCATTGATTTGCAGACAGTGAAAAATGATGTTTTCTTTACGAATACAACTAGAATGTAGAATCTACCATGACTGAGCAAGTCTGCACATAGCTACTCGTATGTTTATACAACCTAAATAACTGGTACCCAGGTCTGGCTACATGGTTCAAATATTCCTGTTCCCAAAGCAAAGACCCACCCGCTTCTCGGCTTCTGTATTTCCTGTATGTCCAAGAGCAATATCACATGTTTCCTTGTGCTTGGATGCTGTAGGATTCTTTCCCAGCAAGTCATAGCTGTTGTAGTATAACTTGTGGGAATAATTTGGGGACCTGAGGGAGATTGTGGTTAGGTCAATGAAGGACTATGCCATTTGAGTGAAGCTGATTATGTACTGCAAAGTGAGCAGAGCTGCAGCTCAAGCTAAAACAATACTTTGGCTTTAACCATTTGCCTAGTCATGAAAGCAAGTAAACAGAGATGCAAGTGAAGAAAAAGCATCTGCACAGGAAGCTACTGCAATATAGAAAAGCCCACACTGAAAATACCCTTAAACTTTTTCATCAGAAGGCATGAAGAAGGGAGTTCCCTTGCTTCAGTGGGACTGGCAATGAAATTCTTGCTTTCCAGAATTCGTAACCCAGTTGTGCTAGTTTTGTCCCTTAATTTTCTTAGCTGATACAACAATACCTCAGTAACTCTGTAGTTAATCAAAAGCTCTATAAGGTGACCTGGAGAAAAGCATGTTTTAATTTCAAAAAGCTCTGACTTACCATGTACCCTCATGTGATCTCGTAGCAGCCTTTCACTGGCAAAATGTTTGTGACAGTTCTGGCAAACAAATATTTGTTCTGAATTTAAATAGAAATTATTTAGTGGCGATACAAATCACTTATGAAAGATATATTAATTAATAATCTATAGCTGCCAGTTTTGTGAATAAGCTAATACAACATTGGGACAGTTTCAGTATTATTTTTCATTACCAATACTCTTCAAAAAAAGCAGAGTTTAGGCTTAATGAGAAGGATTCTTTATCAGTAACTTAATTGCATCCTCAGTCAGATAACAGTGTTCAAAACATTAACAGTTTGAAATTTGAATCAATTATTCTGTCAATAACCTAGAATGCTTTTACTTTCCATCACCAACATACTCATGCTTTCATGAGATTTACTTGTAAGAAGAACAGAATTATTTATGAGACTACATGTGTACATTTATTATAAAACACCTTAAATGAAAATCTCTTTAAAACATACACAAAATAAAAGCATATCCACTTACTATCTTCTGAAACTTGTCTCTTTACATGATCAAAAAACTTAGTGTTATTGGAGAACATTCCTCCACAAGTAGGACACGCTACAACTCTTTCTTGCGTGTGGGTTCTTAAATGATCCCATAGCTTGTGCTTGCCTTTAAATACTCCTAAGCAGTCTAACACAAATAGACAAACAAAAAAACAGCTGCAGGTGAGTGCTACAGTCTTTCTTGAAAAGAAACAGTAAGACACATGTCTTACCATTGTATTTTTAGAAACCCAAAGTAAAGCCTCTTCTGGGAGAAACAACCACCACCACCAGACTGTTGCAAACCTCATGTGACATTTAACCCCGCAAATATCTATGACAAAGTCATATTATTTGTCAGTAATCAGAATTCTTTGAGACATGTTGTCCACATGTCCTCCTTAAGAAAATCCTAGTTTTGAATTTGCAGCGTGCATGCTCCTATACTTTCAACCATCAGGCATCAAAGTTTTTGACTCTACCTGTACGTTCACGAAGTAGAATAGAGATAAAATTCATTACTATCTCTGTTGCTATCACAGAACCCCAGCAAAATGCATGTTCTCTGTTCCCTTGAGAAACAAGAGAATAAGACGGGGTAGAGAACACATGTCAAAGAACTCCGCTTACTGACCTCTTTTTTTTATCTCCACATTTTCTATCTTTACATACACATTCACGTAGTGGTTAACCACAAGCAGTCAGCTATCCACCAAGCAATCTTTGCATATAAATAGCAGCGTCAGACCTCTTGAGCTCAGGAACAGACTGGTACTGTAGACACAGAGCAAGAACAACACAACTAGAAAGTTCTGGTTATTGACATGTGACACATAAGGGTCTAGTAGGTTAATGTGTTGGTGTAAATGAAGCTCAAGAAAAGCTCTCGGTAGAAAACTTCAGATAGTTGTGAAAGAATACCCTGCCGTATCACATAAGGAGAAGCTGCCACAAGACTCATCTACCTACCAAAGATAACAGCTATGCAGAAAACTGCATTTTTAGAAAGGTGAAGTAACAGCCTGGACCCAATTAGAGACTCCTAAGAGTCAAGAAGACTAAATTCAAATTCAAGAACAAGAGGTAGGAAAAGGTAAAAGATTCTTTGTGGATGATGCATGAAAATGGTCATCAAGTGAATCAAACTCAATGACAGGTTGGGTACCTTTAGGTCTCGGAAATTAATACGTAAAATTAATTTAACAGAAATGATTCACCTAGCTCATTTAATCAAGTAGGTGCATCATGAGTTCCAAGTTCCATTTTTACTACTCATGGGGACTTTGCCTCTAATAGAACGACAATGCCATAGTCTTGATAACAATCCACATCCAAACCAGGCAGTAGAATAGAGACAACTTCCTGGAAAGGACCTCTGAGCTTCAGATTACCATACTTAGCAAAGGGCAAAGCCCTAGACCCTTCATTAAAAGACAAAGGAAACATAAAACCTCACCTTGCCTACAACGAGGAAATAGGATCATCAGTATCTCCTTCATCTTTACTGAGTACAGGATACTTCTGGTCAGGTCTGCTCTAATATGGTGATGCTGCATATCCTTCGATGACAATTCCACAAAAACAGCTAAGTTGAGAGAGAGAGCAGCAAGAAACCTCCTCTCATGCACCCTGAGTGTTCTGTCTTGGGACCTGCATTTACGTGCACTGTAGGGATGCTGTGCGGGGCCTTGCACCTCACTGCCCCTGCCTCTGACTTGCTGAATGAGCTTCCTGGCTTGGCCGTGGGCCTGTCTCATCACTGTGGACTTGTCCAGTGGCTGTGGCTGACCCTGGCTGGCACCACCAGACCTGCTCTGCTCTTGTTCAGGTTCTGTGCAACTGCCAGTGATGTCCTTGCCTGCCTCACCGTCACCCTTAACTTCCAGTTTGCCTTTCCTTTCAGATCAGCCCGTTCTTGCCGTACCTCCACAAATTCAAATGAACTCAGACCACCAACCTGTATACTGAGGGTCCTGGGAAAACACTGGTGCTATCTGTTGTCCCAGTTCCATGCCAACTGGAGATGAGACCTCACTTGCCTGTGTGTGTTTCTTAAGTTCGGGGTTTGGAATGAAAAGTTGTCTTTCACTTCCTGGACATTATTATTCTGCATGCTGCTTTCAAAAGTTAATCACCACCCTGAATGTCCAGATCACAGACTATTATAGACCCCACAACACCCAGGATATAAACATACATTTTTCTGAGGCAGGATCTTGGTCTCAGAAGAGGTCTTCTCAGTTCCTCAGTGACAGAGAACTTCCACAAGTTCAAGAGGCAACTGCTACAGTACTTAAATATCCTCCTTTAAAATTACTTTCCTAACTTCCTACTTGCACATCCCTTGTTACAACTAAAGCTCATTACTTCTCATCCTTTCTTCCACAAACATGGAGAACACAGTTCACTGTTCCTAGCAGCAGAGCATTTCTTCAACATATTTGAAGATGTCATACTCCTTTTCTTTCACACTTCCTTTTACCCATTCTGTTATTTATGCCATAGAGTCAAATGAATCCTTTCAGCTGCCCTAATAGGCTATATTTTTGAAAGCTATGATCACACAGATATGTGATTTTATTTTCCTCTAAGAACTACAGATTTTACACTATCAGGAAACTGGAGTGAGTTCCCCAGCCAAAAAAAAAAAAAAAAGGAAAAAAAAGTGCATCTGATCTCAAGATGGAAAGGGATGATGTTGCCTTGCATCCACGGACTGGATTTGGCCATCACCACAGTGAATACCTAATCCAAAAAGTAACTTTAATAAATTGAAAAGACTTGTATGTGGGGGGTTAGATATAAAGAGGATTCCAGTCAAACCAGGACTTTGTTGGTACATGTTAAATTGCCAGGTTTAAGGCAAAGAGAATGAATCTGCTCCAGGACCAGGGTCCAACAAATAGTCTCTTTATTCTTGAGCAAAAAGCCTTCTCTTCTTGAGAGGCTCTGCTCATACACTTTGTAGGTCTGAAGCTGAATGGCATGTACATCAGATGGCAGTCCATACTTTTGTTCTTACTCAAACAATAAAGGCATCTGCTATGAAAGAGTGTCAATGGAATGTGGCTTCTACAACAGAGCCAAGGGCAGAACATCTGCTTTGAAGCCATGACGATAATTTTAACACGAGAGGTAGCTAGCAACACAGACAATGCATTAGAAATGCTCTTTCTCACCACAGAGTGAGTTGAGAAAAACTAGAATGACAATAGGTGTGCTTCCCTTGATTTGAAGAGACAGGTGAGAGTAAGCAGAGAGTAAGCTCATCAAAGGTTATCGTGAGGGAAACATTCCTGGTCCTGAGTGGTAGAATATAATTGAAAAGTCTCTTTGAATGGTATACAAACTGACATTCACAGACTGAATTATGAAGAAACCCAGCCCTGGTCAGTACTGACATTTCTCAGCTTACTCTAATTGGGAGTTGAATGCATTTAGTCCCATGGATGACATGAACTATTCTATTTAAATCATGGATGCTATAAAATAAAAGTGTTCTGCAACTATTTTAGATAAAAGAAAATCTGAAGGTCTTATAATGTCCTACACAATACGTAACACTCAGTTAATTTTATAAGAAACGCTGCAGAGAAACTATTTTTTGCAATTAAATTTTTATATGAACTACCTTTCCAGTGACAATAAACAGCTTTCTTCTGATCTGTAACAGTTTTTTCCTCAGTAGCGTAAGCATGATGAGCAACGTGTTGATAGAACCACTCTGGATTATTGAAAGTAACCTAACAACAAAAAAGAAGCATGGAGAAGTTAAAACAGTTTTGGCAGGAAATCAGTTGACAGGACCATAGAATTAAGTGCTTTTAGAAACCAGACATCAGTAAATATTGCAGTAACATTTAATTAACTCACGCCAACAGAAAGAAAATTACATCATTACAAAAATGTAGAACATTCTGCAGTATCCACCACAAAACCTGAATTTGGACCTACCATCATGTAGTTGAAGCCTGTCTAGCTTAATTGAGGGAATGCTACCCAGTCTTCACTTCTACTTGCTCACGGGAAGGTTATGAAGGAAATAGGAAAGCTGCACGATGATTAGACTGAATTAGGTGTTATAGATAGAACGCTCCAACAGTCGGTGTGTGTGACAAGGGGCAACTTGACTTTAATTAGCCTCTTCCTCAGTCCACAAAAATCCACACCTGCAGTGAAAGTACACTGCATGCTGCACCTTCTTAAAGTCACAAAGGGCGTCATCCAGCAGCAGACTGTCCTCAGTGGCAACTTAAAGTATCCCTCTCTCATTTCCCAATAACATAACCCCTTAACCTCCCCGTTGCACTAGCCCCGTTTTGTAAGGCTACACATTGAATTGGGACAAGGCATTAAACAGATCTGGCATTAAACAGAATCTGATCAATCTGAATTGATCTGGCTTTAAATGCTAGGGAGAGGAAATGGGGGAAAAAAACCCTCCTTATGCTGGTATTGCCACTACAGATAATGTGCAGTTGATTCAGATTGAAAGAGATTTATCTTTTTAGGAAAAATATGTAAATGAAAAACTAGTCACTTAGTATTATGTTTTTAATGATCCTAATCTTAGGAGAGTGGATTAAGCTAAGCTGTTAAAAGGCATTATTTGCGCAGAACAGAGCATTCACATGAGGAGTTAATACAGGCAAACTGCTGCATTTTTAATTCGTACTCCAATGTATTTCACAATAGCTCCTCGGGGAAGACAAGCCCTTATTTCCTCTGAAGGGCTTGAAACATGATCTGAGAAATCCAAGGTCCTGTGTATATGAAAACATGCAGGCATATTAAGGTGAATCAACTAAAGGGATTAAGCATGACAGCAATGGAAAGCCTCTTCACTTCCTCATCACAGTGACCATAGAGGGGTTAAACCCGCTGTTATTTATTGGCACCATCTCTTTGAGTCTTTCCCCGGAACTTTCTTGAGCATTTCTTTATTTGTACATAGAGGAGGAGAGAAGTTTTGGGGGCTGTTGCCGCAATTAGGAGCTTTACCTTTGGGGAACCAGAATCTGACACGGTAGGAGGCACCGCAACAGTCGGGGGAAGCTGTACAGCCGATTTTCAAAGAGAATTATATTCATAACTGTGGGAACATATTTGCAGGAGGGTGGGAAATGTAAGCAGCTTTCCCTGCCCTCACAGTTCTCCTTCGCAGTGCGCCCTACCCCACCTCCTGGGTCTAGTCTAGCCTGCCTACTAAGTTGGGAAACATTCTTTTAATTAATAAAATTCACAACATAGTTTGAACTTGAAAAAACATGTATAAAAAGATTTAGCAAAATGCTATGGACTAAAGGAGTCCATCAGCCACAAGCGCCCGCTTACAGAAACGAAAAACAGAACATGAAATTGATGAACATGAAGATTTTTCTTTTTTTAAGCGTGCTTTTCAAGGACTGTGTTTACTGACAGATGCATTAAAATCAAACTTTAGAGGTCTTGGAAGTTTTTCTGAACTTCATTTTTTAAAGTAAATAGACCAATTGTTGCATTGTGCAAGTAAAGGCTGATTAGTATGTATTAAAAAGTATTGATACCTTAAAATAACTACTGTTAGAAATATGACTCCTACAAGCTAGGAGGCACAACAGAAATAACATTTGTTTGTAATAGTTTGTAATCAAACTATGCAAACCATCCCAAAGTTGTCATAAATAATGCTCTGTATTATATGCGCAGGTACATAGCTTTAAAAAGAAGAGACGGGGGGTATTTCCATGCTTAATCCAATAGTGAATAAAAGCTTACTTACAGAGGGAGAATTTCTCACAGATTGACTGACAACAGAATTACCTCTCCCTATAAACGTTGCTCGCAGATTTTGTCATTCCTTATATAAAGGAAAGAAAATCAAAGAGAGATATCAAAGCATTTTTTGGGTGTAGGTATTCTAAATTCAAAGCCAAAAGAGACAAATGGATACTTCTGGGCATTCTGTCCAACAATAACATACGCCTGACCAGACACTCACCCTTTACATATGCTCTGGCATAAACCATCTGTAAATTGAAACGTTAAGAGGAAACTAGAAATAACCTTATACTTAGGAAGGAGAAGGTTAGCAAAACAAAGCATGGACTATAACTACCACCAGGAAACAAAAACATTTTCATTCCAACATTACACTTACTCTAATTCAACAGTGTGGTGTACGTGAGGGATACAGAATGTATATAAAGCATCACCCGTCTGACAGTCTCTTGCATGGACATATTTTCATCCTCATTAGCTCTTGTTTGTAACATCAAAAAGCGTAATTTATGTCATAAATTTAATTTTAACACAACTTTGATATGAAAAAGTCATAGATAAGGATTTAAGGATGATAACCCATGCGTCATTGGAGGGCCCTGGGAGACAGAAGGTAAAAGGATGAAAGGCCTTTCAAAAACAGAGTTTTTGTTTTGATTTGTAGTTTGATGTTACTAAGCCTACATCAGATTTACCCATATAAGGTTTACAAAACTGTCTAGTTTTACATTTTTTTTTTTCCCATGGCACAACTCATTTCAGGTGTATCTTGTTCTCCAGTATCACTTTGGTTTCAATTATATCATTTCAGTCAAATTAAATCAAAAACTCATACAACGTGACAAAAAGTAATGTAGATTGGATAGATACACAGCAGCAATTTATCTCAGAGACAGAAGTAGTGTAGAGGAGCTGTCTAAAAACTAATTTGTCCAACAGTTACACAGAAGGGGGCGGTATGAAAAGCTCTTCTGCAAGGCATCACATCTACAGATGCAAAGGTAACGCTCACTGGCCAGGAATAACAGCTGAGCTTCTGAGTCCAACAGGGACAGGGAAAAGTGCTTCCCTATAATATCACATCAGTGTGAAACCACTTCTGATCAGGAGTGAACACCTCTAAGAAACAGAAGAGCACATGCAGCACTATTTACGTTAACATTAACATTCTCAAAAAAAAAATAATATAGCAGCTGTTAATCATCTTGGTTAATGTGATACACAAATAGCACAGTCAGAACTGAAGGGATAATCATTTTCTTTAATACAGAATACCACAAAGTGGTCAAGATACAGCCCATTTTTAGGTCAAACCAATCCTGGCCCATGTTTGAATGTGAGACTTGTATGAAAAGCCTATTGCAAGCATTTGATTTCTGTTCCAGTCAAAAATTAAGAACAACAACAAACAAAAGCAAAAAACAACATTTCCAACTGACCAAGGAAACATCAGATATTCCGACACTTTTCTTTAGATAAACAATAAGCTCTCTGGACCTCTCTAGAAGCTACCAAATTGATGAATTTAACATTCAACTGTGTATATTACAGTTTTGCATGTATGCTCTTAAAGCACGAAAATTTTAGTCACCATAAAGAGAAAGAAAATTTGAAGTCATAGATGCTATACAAGTATCTTGTTTACATTATTGTGAACGCTACCATAATACCCCCCAGATCTAATTTATGAGGGTAGTGGGAAGCCTTGCACAGAGGTAAGTTTGAGCAAAAAATCCTAGTAGTGAGTCAAATCCAAAGGTAAAGTTAGGAAATCAAAAAAGTCAGTAATATCTCAACATACACAACTTACATTACAGTTCTCCCAATTGCAGACAAACTCCTCTGAGGTCTGTGGTAACTGATGCCAGCTACGGCTGGTCAGCAAACACGCTGGCAAGTCGCGGTGCAATGCCCGTAACCGAGAGCCCACGAATTTCAGTTTGGTGTGGTAACTGTGAAAATTGACATGTGTTATCAGCTCTCTGGGATCTTTCGCCCCAAATTCACAGTTTCTCCACCAACACCGGTAATGCTCTAAACACAAGAAAGAAGTAACAACATTTTACACAACTCTGCATGAAACCTGCAGGCGTTGCTGCAACAGCGAGAACACCAACAGCACTTACATTTGCAATAACCCCACGATCTGTAAGTAACCTTATCAGGGTCGCTGGCAATTGCTATCTGCTGATAATGTGGTAGGGAAAACCTGCAAATCTCAGTGGCAAACAGATTTTCCACTATCTTAAAGCTGTAGCACTACTTGAGTGCTTTGTACCTTCAAACACAACTTTTTACAGAAAGGCGCTTAACAGATTAAACAGGAAAATTTTGTAAAAATTTGTATTTTTCTTAGGTATATATACTATGGTACTCTCTGGTTTAGGTCACACAGACATTGTTAATGTTGGTTCAATTCTACTTTTTTCACCTTTAATTAAAACTCATTCACCTTTAATTAAAATGTCTACACCTGTAATTACACTTGATTACAGTGTTAAGAATAAAGAGCAGGATACACGAGAGCCAAAATAGTTATATTAACAAGTCTAGTATATTATTGCTATTACATCCACAGGGACTGCCTATAATTTTCTGCAGAATCAGATTTTTTGTTTTCCTTTTAAGTACACTTAGTACCATTAAAAAGATGTAAAATACAACACCGGTCATAAAACAGCACTGGTGTCTGTAACCAAACAAGGCAAACACCATATGAACAATAAAAGTTTCTGTTTTTCTATTAAGATTCATAAGACTGCTACTTCAAACCTGGAATTCATAAGCACCAGGCCAGTTGCCTGAAAGGGAAGCACTCTGCCATTCAAAAGCAATTCTCTAAAATCTGTTTTAGACAATTCCACCTGCAGAGGACCTAACCTTAGAAAAACCCACAGCAGAAGTTCCCAGGTCACCTCTTCAGTCTCTTTCCATTTTAGTAACAGCTATCAATAGAAACAAAGATCCAAGACAATCAGATCTCAAATAAAAAGCAAGTGTAAATCTTCATCTAAGGGTTTTGGGCAGCTGGGTCCTTGGGAAGCTATGAAGGTCTGCGTAAACTGAAGTCAGTATTACTTTCTAACCTAGAAAATAATCGTCAGTACTGCAACACAATTTGTGTGACATGAAACACAAGTCACCTGCTGTTTCCAGGGGGTGCTGTAGATACTCTTTCAAGTGTCCTGCAACGTGATCACAAAACTCCTCCATGCGTTTTCCTACAAAGAGGCATTCTTCCCATTCACATGGCAATATCATTTCAGAGTTCTTAAATTTGCTTCCAGGGGCCATCGCCTACAATTTTTAGCAGTACAGAGAAGTTTTAGTTACTGCATCGCATTTTTGTAGATTTCCCTTGTAAAAACAGTAGTTAAGATTACAGGTTCCTGGATGACATAAATGTTATTATTATTATTTTTTTCTTTGATTACTAGACACTTTATTTTAGGAATCTGTGGCCACATTTTGCAAACATTTACACCTTGCCAGAAGCCCCCAATTGTGATATTTTCCTTACAGACATACAGCTGGAGCCCTATGATCAGCGTCCCAAACATCTGCTACCATAATTTAACTCCACAGAAGCGCTGTAAAACACCTTCCAGACAAAAACCCAGTCAAACTCTGGGAGGAGGATGGCAACAAGCAGGTGGGAGGAGGTTCGTATCATCCCTTATCAGCACATACAGATCTGGAAGGCGGATGGCTTCCAATAGCCTAAAGCACCAGTATAAAAGCCTGCCTGTGCCTCCACTGCTGCTGCTACTGAGTCGACTGCTGAAAAGTCAGGTACTAACATAATGCTAGTTAAAAATAGAGAGCGTGCCAGTGGAAAAGCACGCAGGAGTCAGCGCGTCAACTCTGTGGTGTTAGGCAGACACTGTTAACGTAACCTGCAAGATTTCACCACCGAGTACTTCAACAAAGTTACTCCAAACGCGGCAATGAGCATCACTGCCACAAAATTCTCACAGGGACGGTTCCTCTAACGGGCCAGGGCCGGTGCCCGCAGCACCCTGCCCGAAGGACCCGAGGTACAGCCCCGGCAGGGAGCTCTCGCTGCCCCCTCAGCCCCCGCCATAGGCGGCCAGGGCTCTCCTCACGCCCGCCCAACGGCCGCAACCGCCATCACCTTGAGGCGGGCCGGGGCGCGCCTGTGCAGGAGCCGCCTCCACGTTAAGGTGGAGATGGCGGGGGGGGGAGATTTGGTCCCGTCACGGCCCCTTCATGGCCTCTCAGGGTCCCCTCAGGGTCTCTCGGGGCCGGGGCCGGGTTTGGGGTCGCCCCTCGGGGCGGAGACCCTCGGCCCCAGCCCACGAGTGGGTGAGGAAGGGCAGCAGCCGGGTGTGTGATGTCCTGGGGGCATTGGTTGGTAACAGCAGGTGCCTGCTCTGCTTGACCTCCCCCTGAAGCCACTCTTCCTTCTGATAAAACGCTCACGCCCTTTATTTATTCATCTATTCATTCATTCATTTTCTCCACTGCGTAGACTCGGAAGCACCGAAGTTAACTAAAATTAACAAAATCATCAGGAAATGTGTATGCCATGTAATGAGAACAGCAGCGATGCCTTCACTGGAAGCACGCTCAAGGGTCACTGGGTTATTTTCTAGCAGCGGTAAAGGCAACAGCTCTCTTCTCCACGGCTGCTCAGCCAGGAGCGCCCCGTATCTCTCACTATTCAACCCGCTTCTGACTTGCATAACCACACAAGTATATCGTGCCTGGAGGAGAACTTGCTGCGTGTTGGGATTTGCATGTATTTCATGGGAAAAGTAGTGGAAAAGGGAGGAGAGTGAATGAGAAGAAGGTGCATTTGCCTCCAGGACAAAGTTTCCCTTTTTTTTTTTTTTTCCCCTCTTTGATTATGCAATCTGAGCTCTTCTCTTTTCCGTCTTTATAAATGGTGTTTTGTCACAGATTCCACTGTTCCACAGCAAAAATCTGTTTGCTTCAGTTCAGACTTCGCAGGAGGACAATAAAGCAACTATTCTTTACTTTTTAAGACAGCTCCCCGAAGAACCCCCCCTTATCCAAACACCTGACGTATGTACCCGTAATTACTCTGAAAACACATCCTGAATTCTCTGTTGTCACGTGGGCCCCTGGGTACAGGTGCCATTTGTATGGCAGGCAAAGGTCTTTATTCCTTTGAAAGCTCAGACCATGGTCTTAACACAGGTGTGTGTGTGGAGAAAAGGGAAGAAAAGCTCCCATATGCAGTTACTGTATTTTTTTTAACCTATCCACAGCACAGCCCATATAGCAGATTTGAGAGCCGTTCCTTTCTATCCCCCTCTCCTTGGCACAACAAAGAGCGGGGGTAGGAACTTCCCCACCCTTCCCTTTAATGTGCTCATTTGATTTTTTGTTGTTGTTGTTTTGCAATTCGGTTGTAAAGCACCCCTCTTTATTCTAATATCATCCCCTCAGTGATGCTCCTACGTCAGACTTGCATGCAGATAGCACGTACAGGACGGAGCAGGTCTCTTCCGTGCGTGAGAAAGGACGTTCAGGCTTGAGAAAATGCTGCCCACAAGCTCTTTCCAGAAGTGATGAAATGTAGACCTGCTGTACACTCTTATCATTCGTGCATCTTACACTTTGCGACCTGCATGTTGCTGCATATAACGCACTGAGTGTGCTTTACCTTTGAAGTTAATGTATGGTAAACTAAGTACACGCTACCACTTTCCCCTCTACAGGTAACAGTATAGGTTCTGCTAGGAAAAAAAAAAAAAAAAAAAAAAAAAAAAAAAAGCATCTTAACGTAATAATAACTAATATTTAGTTAACAGGACAGCATCCACCATATCTTACCACACGGTTCTGTATAGCAGGTAAAGTATGTGTTCTCTGTTTTTCTTTTTTTTTCTTTTTTTCTTGTTTGGTTTATTATTATTATTATTATTAAAAAAGTTGTATATCCAATGTATTTCGTTGCCTCTTTTTCCCCAGCTTTGAATCTTTTTCTTGAAATGGGTAAGACAGAAAGATGACAGCACCACACTACAAATGCTGATGAAATCCTGACTCCAGGAGCGAGACACTGAGGTTGCTTGGAGGAGTCTTGGCTTCCCCTGCCCCTCTCAAAGGACACCCCTTCTGCCGCTTTCAGCTTAGCTGTTAGGAAGGTCAGATTAGCAGCGGTGAGCTTGGACTCTCCTAGAAAATGATCCAGTGTCAGCCATCAGCAGGGCTCTGTGCGCTGAATTTGTTTGAGTCGACCTCTGCATTTTGCAACTGTCGGCACTGCACGTGCAGAGTAGCACTTCAGGACCCAGGAGGGAAAAGAAATCCAAAACAGCTTTCTCAAAGCTTTTTAGGGAAAAGAAAAAAAAAAGTATTTTCCAACCATTGTTGCACTGCATCAGGAAGTAACTGTGGCTTTTTAAAAGTGTTCTAACAGTTTTAATCAAGAAAACTTGACAGCTTCTTCTCATGTACAGTGTGAATACGGTAGTAGCATCTCAGCACTGAAGAAAATCACTCTGAGTTGATGACAAACATGATGGAAACGCCTTTTTTTTTGTTGTCCTGTTGCCAACATGATGCTTTGGATTTGCTACAGGGCAAAAGCCCCTGTGTAAATACAAACCTTGGCAGCTAGTCTCACAGATGCAGTCACTCAGCTGCACTGTCTTTGTCCAAAACTACTGAGAGCAGAGCTTTGCTGTGGGTTGTGGTGCAGATCGGTGGGACCCTCCTCCACTAAGTTTCCTCCTCCCTTTACACCAGATCAGGCCAGCACACTCATAACTGCCATGAATGGGCATGCCAAAAACAAAAAGGGTTAAGGATTTTCCAACAGGTATGCCTATAACAGTAACAAATGTAAGGCCTAAAGTAATTAAAAGGAGAGAGAGCATTACTTTAAATAGTCTAAACAGTGTCAAGGGAATACCATTACTGAAAAAGAATTCACAAAACCCCACTAACAAAGCTATTTTCCCTATCCATTTTCTTGTAATACCCACAGTTTTTATATGACTGTCATTTAGATGTATGGCATTGTTTCCATTCACAGTCTTCCAGGTGAGGAATTCAAGCATCTTTTTGTGTACAGAACTCTGGTAAATTACTCTGACAAACTGACAGAAAATTCAGTTCCAGAAATAAATTCAGCTGCTATCCAGCTGGTAATTTCAAACACTTTCTGGAACAACAAAAAAGGTACAGATACTTAGCTGTTTAGACAGGTAGGAAACTGACTGGTAGGTTTCTGCAAAATACTTTTGCTACTGGCACATCTCAAAAGAAAAGTTTAATTTTAGAGTGTAATGGCACAATACAGTAGGTTTTCCAGAGAGAACTCATCTTAGACCATAGCTGAGAAGGATGCAATCTCCTCTGTTTTCTGTTATTGTACAGCAACAAGCTATAGAATAAACATTTTAGGATGCTACCCCATATTCCCGCATATTTTGAGGTGCACAAAGTTCTACGGATAACTACAGGATCTTACTGCTTTTGAAGCAAGTCTACCTGATTTAAAGGAAAAAAAAAAAAGTTTGATACATTGAGGACCAAAAATAAAAACACTAGTAGAGGAAAAGTTCTGTACCTCGTAGCTCCTTTACTTCAGAGCCCATGTGCCACAGACAGCATTCAATTAAATAATAGTCTCAGCAATAAACAATGACAATACACGACACTACACAACATCGCTCCTTTGGCTCAAAATATTTCCAGTTTGTTACCAAACAGTTGTTATGCAAAATCTCCAACACACGGCTGAAAAAATGTAACCTTCATATGCTATAGATGAAAAGGCTAGTAACAAATTGGCAAATGAAATCTAGATTGCACATCCCTTACATATTTTTATTTGTTGTGCAGGTAGAAACAGCATCAGTATAACTTTGGTATTTGTCTGAAAAAGGCTTAGCTGGGAGAGCAGCTGGCATTCACTAGTTCTCCAAGGTAAGTTCTGTCTGAAAACGAATCGATTTCCAGCTTCTCCAAAAAATTGTTTTGGAGTTTTCCGTGTTGCAGCACACCCAAGATACAGATTTGTTCTCATAGAGATGTTAATAATATTAGTAATAAAATCACACTGAGATGATGAGACACCACAGCAAGGGTTGCAGGGAAAGTCAAGATCATTTTTAAAAGGAGCCTTCTGGGAGGTTCTGAGAACTTTCAATTGCCTGGCCTACTCAAAGCCCTTCCTTCCAGTGAGCTTCATTTTTATCTCCTGAAGCAGATCATTTAAGTTTTTGGGGATACTTAATTAGTTAGATACTTAATTAGTTAGGATCAATTGTTATCAGAAGGGCAAGATGCTGACTTGCTTGGGCCAGATTCTGTGGGCCAGGAAGAGCAGGAGGGATGAGAGTCAGCATGAGAGCACAGAGCACCCGAGGATCACACACACAGGACAAGGGGGCTTCGTGATGTCAGAGACATCTCTGTAACAGGCGATCACCTGCAGACACCATTCTTACCAAATAGTCAGGCAATTACTAGTTGTTAAAGTGGCTCTGGTTGATTCAATGTATCCTGAATGCAAACATCTGTGGTATTAATATTGAGCAGATGTACTCAATGTGCAACTGAGGCAAAAAGTCTTTTCCTCCCTACTTAAAAGGTTAATCACCACATACATGTGTCTAGACAAAAAACTAATCTTCCAGAAACTCTATCTGCAGCACTGCAACCCTCCTTGTTTGTATACACACACATATTTTCTTTAGATGTCAGCTATCTTATTTACCACAGTAACTTGATCCCAGACCTCTGCATTTGCTTTCCTTTTTTTTTTTTTTTTTTCAGTCACCCTGCCAAAATATAACGTGCCTTTATTAATTAGGCACTGAACACAGGAAAAAAAAAAAAGTTTAAAAAAGTTGTAAAAAGTTTCAAGTACATAATACGATTTATAAATAAAACCTAGAGTCCTCTTGATCAATGGACATGAAGGGGAAGCACTCATAGGGAGGATAGCTGAGAAACTTATCTGGCCCAAGCCAGTGGTGGAATAATCTGTATGATAGAGGGACATCAAACTCTAATTCTTGGGATGGTGGGAGGCTAAAAAAACTTACAGAATCACAGAGTGCTGTTTGAAAAGAACTGGGGAAAATGAGAGACTAGGGAACAGAAAATTATTTCTTTTCC